GAACCCCACCACCAACTCAAGAAGAAGGTTCAAGGTAGCTCACAGGCCTACTGGCTCCCACCCGACCGCGAGTTCTAACAGCAGCCAGCTATAAGGGCAGGGCTACGTAGCAACCGAGGGAGTCTGAGGCAAAGACAGTTGATGCCTTGGCTGTGTGTAGAGTATCGCCCCCCACCTCGTCCTCCTGCCCCCACTCCTCTGGATCCAGGCTGGGAAGGGTCTTTCTTTCCCTCCCTGGAGCACCCTGCTCCTGGTCTCCATGCTTCCTCTTCCTGGCTCAGTGGCTTCTCCCTGAAACAAGGCCGATGGATGGAGGAGCTCCTACCTGCTCGGCTTCCTCGTGCTTTTCAAAGTTGATGAAGCCAAAGCCCCGGGACTGGCCACTGTCATCCCTCATCACCTTCACGCTCAGCATCTTCCCTGGGAAGGACCAACGGAGCTCAAAGGGGAGCCCCAGGAGGACCCCCTCTTCCCAAGTCCTCAGGAAGCCCCAGGAAGTCCTCCTCCCTCCCAGGCAGGCTGGAGGTGGAAGAGGAGATAATGATGCCCCTTCCCTCCCCCCCAGGGCCTCAGGGAGCAGGCCCACCAAACTGGGAGAAGAGGTCCCGCAGGCCCTGCTCATCCACGTCCCCCGGGAGGTTCTTCACATAGACGTTGGTGAACTCCAGGGCCCGAGTCTTCAGCTCCGCCTCCCGCTCCCGTCGGGACTTGAAGTGGCCGACGAAGCTGTGGACGGGCTGACATGAGCCCCCTCTGTCCCCACCCCAGCCACCCGGCAGCCCTGGATTCCTTCTCCAGACCGCTTTCCTCATCAGGAGACGGGCTAGGGCAAGCCCCCTGCGAAGGAGCCCATCGGGACTTCCCAAGGTCCTCCCTCCAACAGCCAGGAGTCTACGCTGCACAGCTTGTCCCAGCAGAAGGTGAAGGTGGCTTCCTTTTGTGACACAAATGCACACTCTCTCACAGGACAGCCGGGGGCAGATGAGGGCTGTGCAGCCCTGGGTAAAGTCACGTGACCTCTCTGAGCCCCCGTTTTTAATCTTGCAAAATCGGGATGCAAGGCTTTCCAGGGACTCACATATTCATATACTGGGCACACTGGGCAAGCAGGAGAGAGCAGACCACACAGGGACCACGCCAGCACCACTATAGGCTGGGGTGGGTGGGGGGACCTTAACTGAATCACACCCTTTAAACTGTAATCCCCAAGTTCATGGAAACCCATCTAGGAGATTGTCCTAGATTTTAAAAAAACACAAAAAAACCCATCAAGTCTAAGAGACTTTCAAGGTATCTATTATGCATATAAGTGGCTGTCAATCATAGGCCAGCAGTTCAAACCCACCAGCCACCTTGAGGGGCAAAGATGAGGCTGTCTGCTCCTTGAAAATTTACAGCCTCAAAAACCCTAGGGAGTAGTTAGGGGTCACTGTCAGTCGGAGCTGACTCGATGGCAGTGTGTCTGGGCTTTGCTGCTGTTCACAGCACACTCAGCACATGGTGTAACAGCCACCAAAAATGGCAGGGGACTGAGCAACGGTGACTTGGAACAAATGCTAGTTCACAAAGCTCGTGCCCTTCTGAGATGTGGGGAAAGCCCACCAAGACCAGCCTAGTGGCCCCGGGTCTGTGCTCCAAGACCCTCCCAGCTCAGAGCATCTTTCACCCCTGGAGCACCAGGAGGGGCTGGGCTATCACTGGTGCAGAATCAGAACTGGGGGCCAAATACACTTTACCATTAAAAAAATTAATGAGAGTGGGGGGCCAGGGAGAAGGTCCAGAAGCAGATTCAGCCCAGCCTTTGTAGCTCCATTTTCCCATCGGTGGAAGGGGCTGATTCCACACTGGGGTGCCTGAAGGCGGCAGACGGAGCACAGGCACCCTCTTCTTCCCATCAAAGCATCCCAAACAGCTTAAGAGAAACTTCGAAGCTGCGCAGAGCAGGCTGGGGAGCAGATGGAGTCCCTGAGCCCACAGCGGGCCCTGGCCATCTCTCCCCGAGGCTCCTCCCAGGCCCATCATCAGCCCTGCTGTTATGTGGGGAAACCAGGGCCAAGAGATCGAGTGACCTGTCCGAGGCCACGCTGCCAGATCAGCACTGCCAGCTGCTCTGTGCCTGGTGCCTAGTCACTGGTGGTAGGTGGCATCCGTTGCCATTTGGTGTCCTATGAGGCTGCCCCTTCTACCTCAGTCCCGCCCCGCCCCCCCCTGCCCCCGGCCCCCCACTTACACTTTGCGGTCATTCAGCAGCATGCCGTTCATGGTGCTGATGGCCTGCTTCGCAGCCTCGTGGGTCTCAAAATGGACAAACCCGAAGCCCCGGGAGCCGGACTCGTCACACACCACCTGGGCCACAGAGAAGACAAGCAGGGACGCACCTCACCAAGTTCAGGAGGAAAGCAGCATCCAAGGAGATATGTCAGATGCCCAAGACACCATGTCACACTTAAGACAGGCTCCGCTCACCAAGGGGTAACCGGAGAGTCAGATCACAGCAGAGGGAGAGAGACCTCGTGCAGAGCCGGGCTCTCCTCTGTACCACCACGCAACGTAAAGGAATCTCCCAGGGGCAGGGGTTAAATTAAGACCTCCACATCCCACACCCTTGTTTCTTCTATCTGTTTGATGGTTTTAGTCCTCACAGTTAAGTCCCTGGTCCATTTTTTAAAAAGTTTTTTGACATAATAATTCACTTATCATACAACTCAATGGCTTATCATATTAAAGAGTTGTATAATCACCACAATCAATTTGAGAACGTTGTGTTTTTTCTTGTACTACTTATTAGCTTCCCATTCCCACTCCACCCCCCAACCTCCTCTGCCATTATCCTAAGAAACTATTAATCCAGTTACTATCTCTATAAATTTGCCTATCTTGGATTTCTTCATATACAGAAAAACATATAAACAAACACCCAAGAACAACAAAATAAAACACAGAAATCTCAATCCAAAAGACAGCAGAGAATAAAAATTAGAACAAATTTAAAATGGGTCAAAAGGGAGAACAAATGATAAGGTGTTAAATTTAACCCAACTCCATCTGCACATCCTTGGTCAACAGTTAGACAGTTTTCACCAGAGGCTTGATCCATGTGGGGACCCTGCAAATGGATAGTGCTGTAGTGAACATTAGCAGACACGTGTTAATCTGTACTTCTGTTTGCTTCAGAAGAGTCTCTTAACTAGACGGTGCTGGCAAAACTAGATTTCCATCTGCAAAAGTTGAAGTTGATTCATATCTCCCACCATATAAAACAAATGAATTCAAAATAGATTAAGTAGTGTGATCCAAGGATTATAAGTAATAAAATCCAAGATCAGAGGAGGGAACGGTAGGAGAGCTTAAGTTCTGAGCACCTAGTTTGCAGATGGATTTGGATGACAGTGAAATCTATATGTATGTGTTAAGTGTAGATATGTGCATGTAGACCTACATTCACAGAAGACACAATCGCAGATATTTCTCATACATAATCAAATAACGTCTAAGCTTGGTTTTCTAGGTTTGAAGGCTTAGGGCAACTCAGTCAATGGGCATAACACAGCTCACCAAGCTCATGTTCTGCACCCTAGTGAAGTAAGGAGGGGCTGGGGTCTAAAAGCTTACAAAGAGCCCTCTATGATACAATCATTGGCCTCCACTCACCGGGGCAAAAGAGTAAGAAGGAAACCAGAAATTTGAGAGAAACAAGCCTGTGAGGCTAACAGCTTATATGCACCGTGGCCTTATCTCCCATGAGATTAGGAGAACTAGACGATCCCTAGCTATCACTGCTGGAGTCACACTAGATGGCTCAGATAGGAGAAAATGTAGACCGAGACTCAAAGCTTGAAACAGGCCAGACTCACTGGACCAAATGAAACCAGAGGACTCCCCGAGACTATTACTCTGGGACACTCTTTAAACCTTAAACTGAAACTATTCGGAGATCACATGTTAGGGACATAACAGCGGCACACAAAATAAAGGATATTACCTGTTAGTAGGGTGCTCTACTGAGAAACATCTGTTATGAGACCAAAGATCAACATGTATGTGAAAACAGATGAGACACTACGGAGGCAGGGCCTTGACTCCAGTCAGTCCTCCCTCAACCAAAGAACATTTACTTCTAATAACCTGGCACTCTGTGACACTCACCTTCCCAACACCATTGCGGAAGTAAAAATGGGTGCATAAGCAAATGTGGTGAAGAAAGCTGATGGTTCCCGACTATTAAAAGATATAGCATCTGGGGGCTTAAAGGCTTGAAGTAAAACAAGCGGCCACCTAGCAGAGAAGCAACAAAGCCCACAGGGAAGAAGCAAGCTAGCCTGTGTGATCACGTGGTGTTGATGGGCTCAGATATCAGAAGACCCAAATCAGTCAATCATAGTGGAGACCCACAGCCCATCTGTAGACAATTGGACATCTCATAGAGGGGTACAAGGAAGGGATGAGCCAATCAGGGTACAGTATAGCACCGACAAAACACACATTCCTCTAGTTCTTGAATGCTCCCCACCACACCCCAGTAGCATGTGCACTGGTACAAACAAGAGCTCTCGACACAAGAAATCCAGGACAGATAAACCTATCAGGAACAATAATGGGAGTTACCATGAGGGTATGGGATGGGGAGTGGGGGGGGTGGGGGAAGACCAATGGCAATGATCGATGTATAACCACCCCCCACCCTAGGGGCAAGAACAACAGAAACGTGGGCGGAGGGAGACAGCAGACGGTGTCAGATATGAAAATAATACTAATTTATCAAGGGGTCATAAAGGTGGGAGAATGGGGGAGGGAGAGGGAAAAAGAGGAGCAGATACCAAGGGCTCAAATAGAAAATGTTTTGAAAATGATGATGGCAACGTATGTACAAATGTGCTTAATACAATTGATGTATGGATTGTTATAGGCGCTGTAAGCGCCCCCAATAAAATGATTAATAAAAAAATGATGAAAAATAAAATAAATAAAATAACATAAAACTAAGTTGGCAGGGAAACTAGAGCACCATTAAAGGGCATGTAGACACACTGCGAAAATCAGAACTACGGCCACCAAGCAATTTGTGCAAAATTGCCAAATGGGAACTTAATGTGCCAAGTGGACACGCACCAAAGACAAAGTATTATTGTTTTTTAAGATAAATAAACAATCAACAGCTGGAAAAACAACAGCCCACAAGGAGGCTGTGGAGCCTAGTTGGGAACTCCAGGGCTAAGCCTGGCATGTCGTTCTGACAGAGGCCCCTAGGCCTCCCCAGGAGGGGGAACACTCAAAGGCTGAGAGAGACCAGGCCATTCTCCTCACACCTCTGGGAAAGACACCCCAGGTTCTGGCTCAGATCCCAACGTCCTCAAACACAGAGTCAGAGGAAGCACGGGAGACCTTACATGATCGTGCATCCAGCTGGTCAACAAATATTTACCAAACACCGGCTATCTGTCACTTATTCCTGGTACGGCAGTACAACGATGACTAAGAATGAGCTCACTGCTTTTAAGGAGCTTATGTGCTAGTCCCAGGAGAATCTTTTTTGAATGGTCTGATCCACTGATTGCCTTGATGGCCCATGAAAGGGGCTCCTTATGTCCAACTTTCAATTTCCCTCTCCTCATGAATTTGGGCTGGCCTTGTGAGAGAGGCAAACCACTTGGTCTCTCGTATCCACAGCCTTTGTGAGTAACTCCCCCCACATGACTGGGTGGTGACATGGAAAGAAGGTGCAATGGGATTTAGGAGGGAATTGGTAGGGGTGCCATTCTGCTGGGCGTAACGAGCCATCTCAGAGCAGGAGTGGGAGAGCTCATGGCGGTCAAGAATGAAGAGTCCTGTGTACATCTTAAGGACCCAACTCCCGGCACAGAGGGGAGGCAGGACCACTGAGCACACGAGTTGGGGGGGGAGGGGGAGGCAGGCTTCCCCGCTCACTGAATGAGTGGTGTGCAGAGTGAGGTGCCCTCTGGACACTGACCAGCATGGAAGGGGTTTTATGACACTGAGGCCAATGGGCCACGTGGGTGAGAGCCTGAGGGAGGTGTATCTCCTCGCAGGACTAAGAAGAGGTGCTATGGACAAAAGAACTGTATCTCTAACATTTCTGATCCCGATCCTGTGAACGTCCCCACAAATTCCATAACGATGAGTATTGTCCAGGAGTTCTGTGTGGCCATTGCAATGGATGACCAAACCCGGCAGTGAAGTAGTGCCAAGGGAATGGTGGTTGCTGCCAGCACAGAGTCAAGAAGGCTGGAGGGTGGAGGCCTGTCTGACGTGTCCCATTACCACTGGCCTTGGGCTGCAGTGGCCTTGGGTTCTCCTTTCCCCACTGTAGCCAGAGGACAGGCACTGACTCTGTGTCCTTTTTCACAGCTTGTGACTGTTGTTGGCTGACGGAATCCAGTGGAAGTAAGTTTCTACCAAGTCCAAGCTCAGGCCTCATGAGGCCCAAGTGAACTTGTTTTCTGTCTTCTGGAGCCTTGTCCTTGCCTGGGCCAGTCTGCTGGAACAGGCATGACCACTGCGAGGAAATGGCCTTAAATGCCCCAGTTGACAGACAGCCAGTCCCTCAAAGCCGAGAGAGCACGAGGGAGCACGAGGGAGCCCAGGGTGAGCCACCAGAACTGTCCAGCTGAACTCGCTCCCAACTGCCAATGAGCTAAAACCATGAAGCACCTTCCCGGCATGGATGGTCCTGGAGAGCATTAGGCTGAGTGAAATCAGTCACTCACAACAGGAAAAATATTATATGAGACCACGGTTATCAAGACAAAGAAAAACAAGACCAAGGTTTTCATGCCCAAGGAAACAGACTTTGATGGGCATCAAGGGGAGGGGGGAGGGAGGAAAGATGAAGCAGTAGGCTAGAGGGGAGACAGGTATTAATTAACCTGGGCAAATGGGAAGGGAATATTCCATAAGGGGGCGAAGCGGAGTCAAGGGGGATGGGAGCAAGGTATTGGGGGATTTGAGAAGTAGTTTCATTGTTGAATACAAAATTCATAATCTGAAATGTAAGCCCTCACTCCATCTCATTCAGAATTAATTTAAAAAAAAAAAAGGTATGAGCTAAATAAATGGTTTCTGTTTCTTGGCCCAAAGTTTTGGGTTACTCAGCGAGGGTCATCCGGACAATGAATGAACAATGTAGGACCCACCACCATTCCAGGGCTGCCTATACCTGGAACGTGTCAAGTACCAAGGGAGAACCACAATAAAAACATTACATGAGGCATGGCTTGGCATCTATCCCTCTATGGCCCAGGTATGTGGCCGAGACCCACCTTGCAAGAGAGGATGTTCCCAAAGGTGGAGAAGGTATCATACAAGGCCTTGTTGTCGATGGAATCCTCCAGGTTCTTGATGAAGATGTTGCCCACACCTGACTTTCGAAGTCCTGGGTCTCGCTGGGACCACATGATGCGGATGGGCTGGCCCTTGATCACCTCAAAATTCATTGTGTCCAGCGCCCGCTCCGCTGGATGGGGAGAGAATGGAGCACGTTCAGGGGAGATCCATCCTGCCTGGGGCCACCAAGGTGATTCTTCACACTTAACTGGGAGCCCAGCAGGGGTTGTTTGAGTCTCACCCCAGAAAACTGAAGCCACAGGAAGGATAAGGAGAGAAGAAATGAAGGTGGGGCTCTCCCACTGTCGGTTATGACCACATTCCACTCCTCACAGGAGCCACCCCAGCCCTGATGCCTACCCCCTTTTTATAAGTGGAAAAACGGAGGCCGAGAGACACAAATGGGCAGGGGCAAGGCTAGGTCCACTCTACCCACCAAAGCAAGCCGAGCACATGGGAGGGGTCTAAAGGACATGGAAAGCCCAGGGGGCACGGTGGCTTAAGCAGTAGGCTGCAACCCAAAAGGCTGATGATCAGACCCACCCCTGGGAGGAAGATGCGGTAAACCACATCAGAAGTAAACCAGTTACAAAACAGCAAAGGGCTGTAATCCTCACTAGAGTGAAAAGAATTGCTCGGTAACACAATTACTAAGATTAAAGTGGGGAAACAGTTGGGTCAAACGTTTTGAAAACCTCTTTCAAAGATTCATCATCTGCTTCTTTATTGGGATCATGAGCTAGAGTTGGGCTCACCTGTCCCTGCTGCCGGGCCTGCCTTGGATCGCTGTACGGGGGTCTGATTAAGCCTGTTAATGCCGGGATGGGAAGACTATGCACTGCTGGGGCCAGAACTCCTGACAATCTCTGCCTGGGGGCCAGCTAGCCCATCGCTCATGGCTTCCAAATCTGAAGTGGTTTTCTGTGGCAGGATTGCTTCTAGAGAAAGCTAATTTTTGCCACCACTTTTTATACCACCACTCTTTCTCTGGTTTTCTGCATTTTCTCCTAAGGAGACTGTTGCTAGCTCTGATGTAGATGATAAACTAGGCTCCCAGGGATCATACAAACTAATACTACTTAGAACCGAACTTGAAGTTCCCAGGGGAGGGCCAGCTGAAGATGACAGTTTAGGGGCATATGGAGGCTGAACTGCAGACCCAGAATTGCTACTTACTGCCCCTGGAGGCTGTGATGAACCGGGGTTGGGTCTTGCTACACGACACCCTTGCTTGCGGAACATACCCTTAGATGTATGTGACTCCTTCGTAACCTTCTGATGGGACTCGGTACTGGGCATCTGTGAAGTCTAGGATGAAATGTTTTTGAAGCCTGGGATCTCCTAATTTACTTCCTGAGCTATGTAAGTCTCCAATTTGTTCTAGGTAGCCTCTTCTGTGTGTGTTATTTTGGGCTTTGGCTGCTAATTTCATATCAATGGGCACTGTTTTGATGAAGATCACTTTTTGTGTCCCATAACCTATTGAGCCTCTGGTTAGCTATAAGAGGGCAAAGAAGTAAATTGATTGAAGATACTGGATCAGGTTTAGGTAAAGGTACTGGCAGTAAGTCTTCTGGAGCTCGCACGATGTGCTTTGCAAAGGTCGGCTTAGTTAGTATAATATCCATTTTAATGTGACTGAACTGTCTCAGTCACCACAAAGATCGACAGTCTCAGACACCCTCTGGGGGAGTTCTACGAGTGGGAACGGGCTTGACGGCAGCTGGTTTGGTTTTTATCTGATATGGGGTAGCAGGCAGCTGTCTGAGGAAATTACAGCTCAGAAGTGCTGAGCAGCAGGGCAGAGACCCCACCCCAAGAGGTGCTACCTCTCAGCCAATTCTCTCACCCGTAGAGCGGAGACAATGGGGACATGACCTATGTTTCCACCTCTCCCAAAGATCTCCCACCTACCTCCAAGTTGGTTGTTGGGCAGAGAAGACCTCTGAGAAATGGCACCAGCTACAGTCACATCCACGCCGACTCATGGCCCCACGGTCAGAGTCGAACTGCATTTCAGTTGACGTTCCATAGCTGGGCATTTCTTTTTTAAAAACATTTTTTTTTTTTTAATTAGCTGGGCATTTCTTTCAAGGCGCCTCTGAGTGGACTCAAACCACCAAATCTATGGGCTAGTAGCCAAGAGTGGTGGAGTATTAGTTGTTTGTATTAGAAGAGACTTCCTGGTGAACTGGCCTTGTGTGTCATTTAGGGGAGATCACTAGGAATTGTGTCCTGTGGAGCCCCTGGGGGGGGTCCAACTGCCAACCTTTTGATTAGCAGCCAGATGATCACCCACTGCACAACCAAGGAAGGTGTCTGAAACCAGCAACCAACGTCCATTTACCTCCCACTACCCTGTAAGCACAGGCTATATGCTGTACCCCACCTGCTGCGGAGCCCTCGATTCAGAGGGAGGGAGAATGGGACTAAGGAGCAAGTGCAATACGCTGAGGAAGTCCAAGGTCTCCCGACTAGTCCTGCTACAAGCCCAGAGGGGACCCCCTCCCCTCTAGCTGGCGCTGTTGCCCAATCAGTGATGCAGAGCCAAGGACAAGGGTCCCTGGAATCCTATCCATTCACCTGCTGGGAAACAGGCTCCACAGAACTACCCCTTTCTCCCCATCCACTCAGGAAAACAGGGAATATGAGTGCCCCCTTTTGCCTTGTCTGGGACCACATTTTTTTCTGTTACTCATTCACTCACTGCCAGCAAGTCAATAGCGACTCACAGGGACCCTATAGGACACGGTGACTGCCCCTGTGTGTTTCTGAGACTAACTCTTTACTGAAGTAGAACCTAGTTTTTCTCCTATGGAGCAGCTGGTGGTTTTGAACTGCTGACCTTGTAGTTAGCAGCCCAATGTGTAACCACTACGCCAACAGGGCTCCTTTCTCTAGTTCCATTTCTGGAATCTTAAATTCATTGTTTGCTTTAAGTTTTTACTGACTGACTGAAGTGAAGCAGTGGATACTTTATAAACTCCAGTTTTCCATTCTTCCCATGTTACCAGGGAATAAGTCACTGCCCCATTTTAAAGATGAAGAAACTGAGCTGCCAAGAGTGAAGTCTGACTCAATGAACATCCTAGCGGGACAGCTTAAACCAAACGGATGCTCTTAACCTTTCTCCTCACCATTCTCAACCAAAGTGCAAACAGGCCCAACCAATCAACTGGAATCGCTCCTGGCTGGGAACCCCGTTTTGGCGCCTGGATACCGAGAGAGTGAGTGGGCTTTTGGAGGCTCCGGAGGTGAGGCGCCAGGTGCAGGCCTCTGGCCGCTGCCCCTAAACCCCTGACCTCCTGGCATCCCCACTCAACAGCTGTTCTGTCTTCAGCATCTTCCTCCCCAGGTGCTTTGCATTCCGCCCTCCACAGCCACTCCACCAGGCAGTTTCCACCCGCTATTTCTCAGAGGAGCAACTGAGGCAGCGTGGGCGTGGAACCTGCCTAAAGTCACACAGCTGCTGCGTCTCCATCCCAGGTCTGCTGGACCCCAACTGTTTTCCCTCATCTGTAAAATAAGGTGATATCCGTACAACGTACATGGAGTCAATTCTCATAGCAATCCTATTACCCACAAAACAGAAAACAACTCACTGCTATTTAGTCCAGGCTGACTTACAGCGACCCTTCGGTGGGTTTCCGAGACCCTAATAAATGTTTACCGGAGTAGAAAGCTATCTTACAGGACATGGTGAACTACCCTTGTGGGTTTCAGAGATTTAACTCTTTATGGGAGTAGAAAGCCTCCTCTTTCTCCCAAGGAGTGGCTGGTGGTTTCGAACTGTTGACCCTGCATAACCAAACTCAATGCCATCAAGTCGATGACGACTCATAGCGACCCCATACATACGGCAGGGTCGAACTACTGCCCTGTGGACTTCCGAGACTGTAACACTTTCCGGGAGTAGAAATGGCCATTTCCTGGCTCAGGCGCAGGAAGGGCGTCTCGCCTCAAGGAAGCAGGAGCAGGGATGCCAGGGGCCGGGGCAGGCGGCGTGGGTGACGGTGGCCCCTCTCCCGCAGCCCCCGCCCGGGCCGGGCTCACCGTCGGCCGGCTGCTGGAAGTTGATGTAGGCGTAGCCCAGCGAGCGGCGGGTGGCCACGTCGCGGCACACGCGGATGGACAAGATGGGCCCGGCGGGCAGGAACTTCTCGTAGAGCATGGCCTCCGTCACGTCGGCGTGCAGGTCGCCCACGTAGAGCGAGGCCAGCGGGTAGCTCGGGCCGGTGGAGTTCATGGCGGGCCACGCGGCGGGGGAGAAGCCAAGTCCGCGCTCCTCGGACCTCCCAGCCCGACGGCGCCCGCGTGGGCCGGAGCCTGGAAGCCGGGACGCACTGTCTGGGGTCTCCCTACCCAGGCTGGGCCCGCCCCTTCTTAAACGCCGGGCCCCGCGGACCAATCACGGGCGCGCCCGCCCCGGAGCCCCGCCCCCCGCCTCTCGGGACGGCCCCTGGGAACGCTTGGCGTTCCGGAAGCTGCAGGTGGAGGTGGAGGTGGTCTCTGCCCCTGGAGGCGGGCAAAGCCCCCAGCCTGGCTGGGCAGGGCTGCGGGGCCCAGGAGCGCAGAAAGGGTGGCAGGGGCCTGGGTGGGGCTCTGGTCCCAGACTATAGCCTTACCCTTCTGGGCCTGTTTGCCTTTCTCAACAGCAGGGTCGTCTCTCCGTCGCCAGGATGAGACTGCTGGCGTGCGTTTCAAAGGGGGCACAGAATCCCCGCGTGGGTCCCGTTTCGGCGCTTGTGTAATTGGATGTTGCCCTGCCCTTGAAAGGCATCTTTTAAGTCACGGAGAGCCCAGCCCAGCGGCAGTTCCACCTTTCTGCACTAATGGGTGGCAAGGTTTTATGGCAAAGTTTCCATGAGTAACCCACAGGACCACCCTGGCCGGTTCTTAAACTGCCAAGCCCTTTCTGGGGTATTCCCTGCCTCTCTCCCCCCTGGCTCAGTCGTGTCACCTGGAGAACCAAACGAGCTCACTAGTTACTTATGCGCCAGCTCATGTGCTTATGCAGACATTGAAAACACTTGGGATCTCATAGATGCCGATTCATCTATCTGGAGCAAAAATGTAAATTTTAAGATGAAGCCAGTGCCTGGCTGGGGATGAGGTGGTCGTGGCCCCAGGCTGAACAGGTAAGAATCCCCTGACAACCTGGGAAGCCTCCATCCACCTAGAGTGTAGGGCCATTAAAAAAAATGTGACCCACTGTGGACAGATACTTCTGGCTTTCAGCTGCAGCTAAGCAGGTGGGCGGGCGCCTGCCGAGTTCCCAGTTGGGCGTGATTTCCAAGTAGTTGGGACAGCTCAGCCTCAGCACTCTAAGGAAGAATCCAGCCAGTTGATTCGAAGCCATTTATTTTCCCTCTTTCCTTATGGGAGTCTTTCTCACTACCATCCAGCCAATCTAGACTTTCAGTGACCCTTTAGGACAGAGAACTCCAGTGCCCAAGACTCCTTTTTTTACAGGAGCGCACTGCCTGTCTTCTGCAAAGCGGCCGGTGGTTGATTGGCTGACTTGGTGGATAGTGGCCCAATGCGTAAACCATTGCCACAGCTGTCTTTACAAAGGGGCAGAGCCTGTGAAGAGCTGCAGGCTAACAGTAAATACTGTGTTAGGGCAGATGCTAAAGTCTGGCATAACCTTGGAGGTGCCCAAGCCCAGTCTCACTGCTTGGTTACATTTCAGAGTTGCAGGGGTCTTGAATACTATACAAAATCATTGACCAATACCCCTTCTCTGAAGCTAGAGAGCCCCTGGCACCAGGATGGCTTGGAGGGGAAGGTGGAACTGTGTGAGGTGAAGAGATGTGTTACACAGTGGCTATTTTGTCCTCTTCACAACTCCTTGGGGCTTGATTCTGCAGGTGAGCCCTATCTGTGGTTTCCCTTTAAAGTGCGGGCAGGACCAAAAGTGTGACCAGCATTGCCAGCTAGTGCTGGTTGGGACAGAGACGGAGTGACACCAGTTCACAGGCAACTAACTGATAAAATTTATTTCACTTTTGAATTTGTACACTTTTCCTGATTATTCCGTGTTAAGGTGAAACTAGAACTGTTTTAAAAGACATACACAAATCTAGTACATTGATAATTGGGGAGTTTTCTTTTTTTTTTTGCTACACTATTTTCACAACCACGGGTGTGCTTGCTAGGCAATAGAACCATCACAGAAGCAAACGTTAGGCAGAATACTGTTGAGGAAAAAACAAAGCAAGAAAGAGCTACCAGATATACAGACAGGCTCGGTTCCACATTCACTACTGCACTGATCAAGCAGCAAGTATTAACTGCACATTTTTGTTCAGCTAGGAAGGGGGTGGGGGAGGGAGGGTGGGATTTCCCCCCCCTCTTTTTTGTTTTAAATCAGTGCATGGATTTGTCTTTTCTCATTTCAGCAGATGAACACACAGATGGACTACGGGTACATGGAATGTTCAGGGTGGGAGACGGGGAGGCCTGCTGTTCTAGATTCTCTCCACGGCAGTGTCCATGCAACATCCCTGCACTAGAGGGTCTCATTTCACCACATCTGGGAACTTCACTGGACGGGTACACTTGGGAGGCCCAGTGACGGGCATTATGAGGGAGAAATCCTGGATGTTTAGAAATACTTTTTTGGGTTCAGATCTTGAGACTGAAGAGCAGCCACTGGGCTGAGCACAGGAGGAAGGCAGAGCTAGGATGCTGGCAGCTCTTGGTGACTCTCTGAAGCAAGGCCAGCCCACCAGGGTCCTCACCAACCTTCTCCCCCCCCCCACCAGTACTCAGCATTGAACAAAAGACCAAGATAATTCAAAACGAAGGGATAAAGATTTGGAGGCAGGAGGCCAGAAATGTCAAGACAGAACAGAAAGCCAAAGTCAGCAGCAGCCTGCCCCCATCAACGAGAGAAAGCAGGAGTCTTTCCGTGTCCAAATTTAGAAGCCCCAAACCAGGAAGAACCCCAAGATTCTGGCTGCTCAAGGAAAAGGCAGTTCCTGCAGGTCATTCTTCTTTAAAGGAATGACCCAGTAAACAAATAAGGCCGTTCCTAAGCTACACAGCTTTCCCCTTTTCCCTTCAGCCTGGTGGTTACACAGAAAACAGGTTCCACCCCGAAGCACAAGAGTTGCAAATGGCAAACATATTGCTGTAGAAAGGGGCTTTGGCCACGTGTGTTCTAGATGAGCTCTGGACCTTTGGATGGTGTCATAACCCAGCTCTCTGCCACCAAAAACAGCCAAGTTAGGCTTCGTGTTTCCTCCGAAGACGACACTATGGACAGGTTGTAATCACGAGTGGCCACAGCCCAAAACGGTCAAGTGTCAGTGAAACGTGAACGACAGGCATGATTACTGAGTCACCACCAACTCAAATACCTAGCAACGGGCATCTCACTCCACGTCCCAGCGTCAATATAATTCTCTATAACTTTCTGTACAACTTTACAATGGAATTGTATTTCAGTGACTATTTTGATACCAGATTTAACATCCCCAAAAGTTACACATAATTCAGGTGTTTTTTTTCCTACCAGTTAAGAGTTCTGCTAAGTTACAAAACCCCATAATCACAGTGTTCAGTTAAAAAAAAAAAAATCAAACACACGGTAATCCTGTCAATGTTAATCAAAATGAAACTTCAGAATGCCGTGGCATTTATGTGACCAATCTGTGTTTTAGATACAAATACCAGCTATTTATCCCATGGACCATTTTTGCTAGGCTGAGGCTGTGAAAATCGAGAATCGACATACGATCCCTTTTTTTTTTTTTTATCATCTTCGCACAAAGGGATATATGTAGAAGGTACAGAGTGACACTGGACAGATCAGGAAGCGTGGCAGACATTAGTTCTCCCCCTCCCCAGCATCTGCTTCATCTCCCTGGTTTTCCGACGTCCAGAGCTGCAAAAGAAAAAACAACGCTAGAGTATATTCAAATTGGGCTGCTCAAAGTTACTGAAAGGTGGCCCCACCCAGTCAGTATAAGCTCAACACAACTGTTGTTTTCTGTATTACTGCAATGATGACTGCACAGCTCAAAACTTGAGTGATCTTATTTAAAATCTATTTAACACATTTAAAATATTAGAGCAACGCAACAGGACACAAACCCTCTCTAGACTATGGGGTGGCCCTGAGTTATTAACTGGGTAAACGGAGACTATAACCCATTCAGAAGTGATTCCTGAAGTTAGCAGTACTCACAGTGAGGTTGTCCCGAAGTAGCTGCATGATCAGGGTACTGTCTTTGTAAGACTCTTCATTCAGTGTGTCCAGTTCAGCAATCGCCTCATCAAATGCCTGAAAACAAAGAGCCTTCAGCAAAACACGCATAGGTTCTCTGGAGCAACTCAGCCCATTTCCCCCCCAAGTAAACGCATATTCCTTTTCCTGTAAAGTACTTAGGGGAACATATAAACTCCAGCAAACCCATTGCCAATGAACCAACTGTGGCTCGTAACGACCCAATAGGACAGAGCCGACTGCCCCTGAGGGTTTCTGGAGCTATTCATCTTCACGGGAGCCGAGATTCCCACAGAGCAACCAGGCTACCATTAAATTGCCAGGTAATTTATTTAAGATGTATGTGTATGAAGCACCCACCAACAATGACAAAAAAACTAAATAAGGACTCTGTTGTACCTACTAACCCAGCAGGGATAGAAGGACAGTAGTATGTAACTGGGGTTGGCAGCCCAGATTTTGACAGGAAACAGCAAACTACCAGCACCCTGAATTTTCTACTTGATCCTAGCCCCCCAAAAGGATGACCAAACAAAAACAAGCTACCAAACCAAACCCACCGCCATCGAGTCGACTGTGACTCACAGTGACCCTATATAGTGTTTCTGAGGCTTTGTAAATCTTTATGAGTGTACTTGGTGGGTCTGAACACTTGACCTTTCAGGTTAGCAGTCCAATGATTGATTCCCTACAGCGCCACTAGGACAACAAACAAAATATTAGCAGGAATTGCGAAGAAAATACAAGGAAAGTTAGCAAGTCTGTATTTATTATGTGAGAGATAGACTCCCACCCTCAAAAATCTTTTAAAATAAGCCCAAGCCAATGAGTTCAGTTCTGCTTATCAGAGGTATTAGAAAGCAAAAGTGAGGTTTCACAAAGCACAGAAAATACACAGAGAGAGAAAGAGGTGTCTTTCTTACCGTTTTTGCCAGGCTGCAGGCTTTTTCTGGAGAATTAAGAATCTCATAGTAAAAGACTGAGAAATTGAGTGCCAAGCCAAGCCGGATGGGGTGTGTAGGCTGCATTTCTTTCTTGCTAATTTCAAATGCTTCCTGGTAAGCCTGCTGGGAGTTCGACACAGTGGCTGCAAGAGGGATAAAGAGCGTTCATGATGGGGCTCATTGGCACACACTGGACCCACTATCGGCCCGCTTTTCCACACTGGGATGATGCAAACAACCCGGGGAAGACAAGGGCGAGGTGTCACCACCACCAAGTTCACTACATTTTAAAAGTGACTTTTCTAAGCCAAGCAGTAGATATTAAATGCTTTGGAAGAAAACAAAGAAAATTATGACAAAATCTACTATAGCAGTTAAGAAATAGAGAAATAACCTTTAACCAACATGGAATGTGAAAAACAGTATGTTCTAGTGGAAAGAGCATGGGTTTTGGAGCCAACATATCCCAACCCAAACTTAAATTCCCAGCTCTTAATCCCTAGGTCGGAGGCAAGCCAAGACCTCTGTGAGCCGCGGTTCCCTTATCAGAAAACGAGCAGCCTCCCACCTCAATCATGGGGTCTCGTGTGGACAAGTGAGACTCAGTACCCCAGAAAAACAAACCAAACCCACTGCTTCTGAGGTGATTTCAATACCAGCAATCCTATAGGACAGAGCAGAACTGCCCTGCAGGATGTCCACGGCCGTCATCTTTACAGCTGTGGACTGCCACAGCTTCCTCCCACAGAGTGGCTGGTGGGCTCCAGGTGAGAGTGGCTAACCTCCTGATTATACATCAGGGCTCCTTCCCTGCAGAGTAGGCACCTACACAGTGCAGCTCTGATGATCACTATCATGACGTGTGAAAAAAGCACACCACTGAGATACAAAGCAAAAGCTGGCAGTCATTAAGCTCTTTGAAAAACAGTGGTAGTTTTATTCCAGCAACCATTCACATTGCAGCTCTCAAGGAGACCTTCCACAGGATCCTCCAGCTACCCATCTTCCTGAGCTATGTCAATGGGGGAGGAGCAGTCTCAAAAAGGAGGGAAGGGTATGTCTTCAACAAAAACAAAAACACTTCTTTAAATGAATGGACCACTACACCAGACTTCCAATAAGGTCCCCGTGCTCACAAACACTGTGGCGCACCATGCCCACTACCCTGCTCGCCCCGAACCAGCGCAGGGCTGCTCTGTCAGTACCAAAGGAAGCTGGCCATTCATCAAATGGCCTTGAAAACTGCCACTCACTTTGCTTGTTGTCTCCAGATGCCACCTCAGAGAGGTATCTAAAGTAATCTCCTTTCATTTTCAAGTAGAACACCTTGCTTTCTGGTTGTGTAGCATTGAGAATAAGGTATTTGTCCAACAGCTCCTAAAAAGCAATTCATTCTGTTAAGAATTTGGAAGTCTTATTTAAGGGCATTATTATTATTATTATTATTTTAAAATGAAGATTCAAAATACATCACCCTACCAATTTCTCCATGAATTTTTGAAAACAAACAAACAAACAAAAACGCAAACAAACAAACAGGTATTTTTCATTCAAAGCTTTTAAATGTTCAAGTGAAGAGGAGACATGGATTAATCCGTGTATAGTGCTTAAAAGGCGCGTGGCACTCAAAAGCAGTAAGCACTCTCAGAGAGGAGCTGACACTGGCATTAGGAATAAAGTCCTTTAAATATTTATGCTTACGACAAATGTACTTCTGATGAAGTCCAAGCTTCGCACAGAGAGCAATGTTTTCCAAAAGCGGTTTCAGAATGTGGCACACCCTGAAAAGCTGGTGTAGGAGCAGTAGGCACCAGGCTCATCTTCATGTGCTTTCAGAGGCTCTGAAAGCTGGTCTAGATTTCAGGAGTTCTATGTTACTTCTTGCCTTTGGAATGCATGCCATCCTTCATCTGAATACCGGACACCTTGAGCATTCAGGAATTAGTGCTGTTAACAACCCCCCAAAGAACCCACAGGAAAGCAGCTTAGCCAGGGCACACCGTCACCTGAGCCTAAGGAAAGAGAAGCCCAGTGCAAACGCTCAGTTATAAGGGGACCTGAGAGCACGGGGTGTGTGTGTGTGTGTGTGTGTGCACGTGCACGCGCATTCATTTTAATATCCTTTGCAGGCAGGCAGGGGTCGGAGTGGGGGTGTGAAAATCCTGAGGGTTAGGGGGGAGGAGGACTGTCTGGGTGGCTGATGGGCAGTAATTGGGAGAGGCAGCAAGCAAGGGAGGAGGCAGATCCACAAGTGAACTCCTTTCCTTTTCCCTTCAAAGCAGCCCTGACTTCATTTTTTTACCTGGAAGAAAAAAAGTTCCCAGTGGGCTCAGGGTGTGAGGGAGACACTAGGATCAAAACTTGCTATAGCACATGCAGCCCTGCAACACCCCTCCAAAAAGCAGGTAGGAATCAATCTTCTAAGGCATATACAGAACATCAGGAAAGCAGAATCCTATACCATTCATTTGGAATTGTGATGCCTGCCTGAATAAATGAATGTGTATTCTAATGATCACAAAAAGACAGGTGGGGGGGAGTGGCGGGGCGGAGTGGCGGGGAGACCCTGTGAAGAGGTTGGGGACAAGCTAGATGGCTACTCGTTTCGGTTCCTGATGCTGCCTGCCCTCATCAGAGATGCCATCACTGTTTACAACAGCCCGCCTTTGGCTGCACTGATCTAAAACCCTGCCTACATGGCCTCAATTTCCAAAGAGCCACAGATAAATGTCCTGCTTCTCAAAGATCTCTTGGATGGGAAAGCCTTCCCCATCAGCACAGGGGATGCTCCATCAGTCAAGCAGGAGGTGAAAAACTCTCCTCTCCTCTGCAGATCACCTGCAACTTTGTAGGATATTCTGACATCTCTACCTCCACCTCGGTGGACAGAACTGTTGGCAACGAGAGACTTCTTACCAGAACATCGTTGCAGATGTCCTGAAGTTCCGCCTCGATCTTCTCACGGTATTCTTTGCCCATCTGCTGCTTCTTCTCATTCCTCTCCGTCTTCTGTTCAATGCTGGAGATGACGCGCCAGGAAGAGCGGCGGGCACCCACCACGTTCTTGTAGGCCACAGAGAGCAGATTCCTCTCTTCGTTGGAGAGTTCATGCCCCTGCTCCGTGACTGCCTTCATGGCGGCAGCCATGTCATCGTAGCGCTCAGCCTGCTCAGCGAGCTTGGCTTTCTGTACCAGCTCACTTTTATCCATGGTCATTCCCTAGAATGAAACAAGAGGGGGCAAAACACCCAAAAAGATAGCTCATGTCAGGCAGGGCCCAAGAAATGCATACAGAAATCTTCCTCCAACCCACATGGAAAGACATTATCTAAATGGGAACCATCTACTTCCAAGTGCCACCGAAAATACACCAGGGACAACAATGACTGTGTATCAGACACCTGAAGTTAGGTACTTTGTCTATAAGGCTTTGATCCCATTTTGCTGAATTCATTTTCCCTTTAGTCCTACACTGTAGGTTTTGTCCCCCACAACCTTGTCCCCCTTTCCAAAGGTGAAGAAATGGCGGCTCAGAGAAAGTAAGACAGGCCCCCATCAATCCTGTTAGCAGATGGTGGTGGCACTGACTGACTGAGTCGGGTTCCAAGTCAAGGGGATCCCAGGTTCAACTAAGCAAAAGGTGACTGAGCCCGCACATGCTCGCCACCATGGGGTGGCTCGAGTCCACCACTGCCACCACTGTGCATCGGCGAGTCTTCAAATCTAGGGGGCAGATCTTGCAGCTCTGTAGCAGACAATATGCTATGTTTCCATGCACTAATTCTAAGAAACGGCGCTGGAAGGTTCAAATGAAACCTACCTACCATGGGTTACCCTGCTGGTATCTAAAATTTTGGCGGCACAGCTTCCAGCATCATGAGAACATGCAAACTACTATGGGTACGATGAAACTTGACAGCCAGTGCTGTGGATGGCAGAATGCCAGAATTCAAACTCAAGGCTGTTTGGCTTTAAAGCTTTTGTTTTTTGCCATCATCCTGATCTGTCTCCCCAATACAAGTAAAGACATATAGAGACAGTTGGGAGGACGACGACTTCCTTGGAAGCTTTGGCTAAGTACATATCCTTTAGTTCTTTCAAAAGTGCCAGATTTGGGTCAAATATATTTTCCTTCATAGGAGACAACTGATTCAATCAACCTTGAAGCAAAAGGTGATTTTTAAATGTTCTATTTGACAGTGTTCATCAAGCAATGGGCACTTGAAGGATGGCAGCTATCGCCATGAGAGCCCACCAAATGTGCTCACTTCATTACAAAGACCTGTTGCAGGGAAACACCGCACACGAAGGGCGGGCAGGCTTGAGCTCTGCCCAGCACAAGTCCTGCTACAAGCTGAATGACACCACCTCTGAGAGTCCTGGACCTCGTCTTGGAAAATAAGCACTCACTGTCAACTCTTACGGGGCTGCTGTGAGGAACAAGTATCAGTGAAGACGTTATCCGCAAATACTGTTGTTAGAAAGAAACCCTCCCATGCTCACAATCATTGCAGCAGCCATGGGGCCAACCCAGCCCTTGGAGCGCCTTCCTCTACACTCTAATGCATGAATGCTCTTTTATGAACTGGGAGAACGATGGTAAGAAAGATCCACAATCCAGGTATGTAAAAGGAACCGTTTCTTTACTTTAGAACCACAGCTTCTCTCCTTAGTATGAATGCACTGCATCAAACTCAGAGCTGTGTCCTACACAAGCCTCACAAATTCGAAGTCTACACTCAGAGAAGTTAAGTTTCACCACGATCCCACTGGCTCCACTAGACTGAAACTACAGCAGAGACCAGTGAGCCTCAGGAAACGCTCAACTGCGGTGCCACATCCTCCAGCAACCCCGCTGCCATTTGGAGGGGCCACAGGGGAGCTCTGTTCAATAGAGCAGACGCCCCCGTGATGATCCCGCGGCTGAATAGCCTAAACAGTTTCCATGCCTGTTTCTTTAACAGCCGCCAACTGAAAGGCCCTGTGCCCTAGGTGGGCCAGTCACAAGACAGTGAAGGTTCCTGAGTATGTCAGACTGGCACTGACGGGCAGTGTGAAAGAGAAAGCCACGGAGTGGGAGACCAGCCATGCATTGTATTAGGGACTCTCAGTGTGTCACACTGTCTTCAGCATGGGGCTTTGGGATCAAGCCACTATCTTCATGTTTAAGTAAACGTTCCCTAGTGTGGCAAGCACAGCTGAGAGAAACTAACTTTAAGGACCTAAATGATCTTTAGAAAATTTCAGCGTTGGCAGTCATTTAGTGGCCCACTTCAAAGTTCATAAAACAGCACCTGTGTAGCCCTACCTACGAGAAATTCCAGTTTATAATGTGTTGGCCAAGAGCCCATTCAGAGCCAGGCCATCCCATGCAATATGGTAACAGAGCGTGAGACACACAAGAGGACTGGCACTGCTGAAAGAGGCCAAGCCACTTTGATCCCATTACGTCCCCAAATTAAAAAGTTCCTTCACTTCTGCTTTTCTTCCCAAGCATTAAAAGTTACATCATACCTCTCCAAGGGCCCTGGGAGACTCTTTGGGACCTCCCAAATGCACACACCCTTGTTCCCAAAATAAAAACTCCGCCCTTCGAGTGCTGGGGGAAAAGTGTTTTCAGCTTCTTTGGGATCGTTGCAAGTGCTTTTGGAGACGTGTGCCTCAAAAAAGGCATATCCTTAATTGCTATTTCTTTTGAATTACACACAGACACCAAAACAACTCACAACAAACAAAATCCACGCTCAGTGTTCTGCTGCCTACTACTGCTTATGTAACTTTTGATTTATATAATGTGGATTTTTGAAGCAGCTTGACCAATTTCAACAGGAAATGGGTTACACAACACCCAGTAGTTTGGAGAAAGGCAGCAAGCAAGTGAGAAATGAAATTGTTCTTTCTCCATTGGCGCCTCGCAGTCACTCTCTCTTCCTCCGGCTCTCAGACTCTCCTCTCTTGCCCCTCCAGGTCTTTGCCACCAGAGGCATCTTTTCAGGGCTCTGGTCGAGTTACTTTCTCTGTAAAGTTCCCTGTTGCCCACTGGCTGCTGTTAGCCATCCTAGACTTGGTGAACATCCAGGCACAACTGAATACAACGCTAGTGGCCTGGTCCTGATCTGTGGCATCCCCTAGGTCTGATCCAGACTAGACAGTTGTGATCCATCCAATTTTCATTTCAATAGGACATAGGTTTACAAACGTATTTGGCTCTTTTCAGAAAAACAATTACTCAGTGCCCCCGGCATTAAAAATGTTTGTGCGCTAGCTCATAAGCCAGGAAAAAGTGTAGGCATCTACTTTTGCAGCCGCAGCCCATCGTTCCAGTGCCCCACGGGCGAACTTTGGGGAACACTACACCAGAACAGCAGATTGTTTCTAGTCGGGCCAGCAAAAGCTTCCAAGTCTCTGGACCCCCAACATCCCTTCTACACAGCATGTGCTTCGGCCAAAACGGCGCCCTACACTCCACGCATGCTTCTCTCTTTGCTCCCCGAGAGGATTCTTCTAGTGGGCACATCTTGTCGCATGGGCTCCGCCGATGAATTCTTCAGGCCACAGCTTAGGGTCACACCCTCAAGGAAGCATCTCTGGACCACTGAAGCCCACACTCCCTGACAGAGCTTCTAGTGCCACGAACAATGGCTAGTGCCACCTGCTGAAACCATGAGAGAGCAAAATGAGGGTTGGAATGTGCTGGGACTGCCTTAGTCTTCCAAGTTTGGAAACATTCCCACTTTTTGACAGCATCCAGTCTTACTACTCTGCATGGCGCGCTACAGTGAAAAATACCCAACTTGTCCTTATCTGGAAGATGTTTACCTCACACAGGTTCTGGCTTTCACAGGCTTGACTCTGTTTCAGATTTACTGTGTCAAATAAAAAAAAAATCACTAGAATCAATGATTTTCAATTCTTCTTGAGGAGGGGATTGCTTTCCAGGGCTCACATGCTATTTCTGTTAGACAGCACAGCTCTCAACTTCCTCTCACAGGGCACTTCTTTTTTGTTTTATTCCCCCGGTCGCCCACCCGCCACCCACATCATGTAGCTGTCCCCCAGCCCGGGCCTCACTGGCCTGCGCCTTGCTGGCCCTCCCGTCGGTGCCAACTCCCCACAGAGCATTTCACTGACAACTCCCCACTGTCTCACCACGCTTCTTCAGTACTAAAAGGGTTCAATATGTATTTTAAGTCCCTTACTGTTGTTCGGTACTATCAAGCTGGCCCACAGTGCCTTTATTTTTTTAACTTCCTGGTATTTTATTTTATTCTTTCTTGTGTGCTATTGTTGTCCATTGCCTTCAAGTGGCTGGTCCTAAGCCATCCCCACAATCCCTGTCAGACAGGTCACTACTTTCTTTGGCCATGGTGTCAACCATCTCATTGCGTGTCCCTCGTTTTCACTGACCTTTGTGACACCATAAGCTCCCCTGGGGCCAATTTCCACAGCACCTTGCACACAATCTGTCTGAAAATCATCTGTTCAATGAACAGAAGGCAATATGAAAGAAGAATAAGACTTTGCATTTGGGAGCATTCTCCCTTTCCTCAATAAATCAAAGCACCTACTATCCAAAATACATTAAATTCTCATTGCGTTTGCACCTCATTTCTCACGTGCTCCTTTGAAACCACCCTTCCTAACCGCTCCCTTTAGCCCTGCTTCCACCCTTACTCAATGCGTTTCAATGACTCCCCTTGGACCACCAAAAATAAAACTTCTACCTGGCTTTCAAAGTCCTTCCACAATGTTAGGCTTTCTTAGTTATTTCTCATTGTGTGACCTTTTCTCAAGCTAAAGCCCCAAACCACCCACTGCCATCGAGTCAATTCAAACTTATAGCCACAGTAAATCTTACAGGAGCAGACAGTCTCGTCTTTGTAGCTGGTGGGTTTGAACCACCAACCTTGTGGCTAGGAGACCAATGTTTATCCCACAGCTCCACAAAGAGCTCCATGGACATCACCACACACCCTATAAATGCCATGTTCAAGTATACGTTATCTAGAAAGCTCTTTTAACCTCTTGTCAAACGATACAAGTCCCCTCCAACTGCTCTCCCCCTCCCAATCCTTTTTAGGGCTAGACAGCCTTCCCTGACCCTTCAGTTTTCAGGGATCTGCCTGCCTACAAATCCAAATATATCTGTAGCCTCTATTAATGGAGAAAGATTAATCGTGTACCAGAAGTGAACATGCTATAATTTTAACATTCTTAGATAAAACTCCAGCCTTGAATGCCCTCCAAAGGAACACACGTCATAGCTGTGACTGATTAGTTCTACAGATGACAAGAAATGATGGCTTAGAAACAGGACAGACTTTTCTTGGGACTGGATGGACAACCCACCCAGAAAAAGTAATGGCAGGAAGGCACTTTTTCTCTTAGGAGTCTTCAAAAATGTGCCACTCACATGAGGCCAGGTGCTCACCCAGCACAGTGTAGACACCAAAGCAGGCAGACTCTCACTAAAGGGTGCATGGGGTCCAGTCCTGAAGGGAGCTGCCACGCTTCCTGGATAGGAGGCTAGGCTGGTGTGCTTTCTGGCTGAGTACAGGCACCCTTCAGTGCATGCACACCCACCTGATGGGTGTCAATTCAGAGGACTGGGAAGCATTTGCGGACAGAACAGCAACTGCAGGGTGAAAAACAATCAATTATCTCCAAACACAGGGGAATGATTTAAAATAAAAGAAAAATGGCACATGACCCACTCATAGGATGGAGCTAATGTCATCACTGAAGATGTGTTAAGGGATGGTGAAGGCATGATGGGGGAGATGCCCACAGTATGCTTTGTAAGATAGCCCCTTCAAGACAGCAGAACATGAGAACAAAAGTTGACACCATCCCTGTAGTAGCGACCTTACTCTAACTTTGACTTTCTGATCTCTTTGAGTTTTCTACCAGTAAGTACTACTTCAGGGGACCTGGAAGTGCTCAGCTGCTAAGTGAAAGGGCAGTGGTTTGAATGAACAGTTGCTCCATGGACAGAGACGTGGCAGTCGGCTTCCACAAAGATCACAGCCTTAGACATGCTAAGGGACAGTTCTAACTGTAAGGTCACGATGAATCATGACCCACTCGTCATGTGTCACAATCAACTCAACGGCAACAGCTCTGGTTTTCTGATTTTATATATTACTCAAAAAATCTTTTTTTTAAAAGAAAGTCTTTAAAGAGAAGTCATAGCTACAGATAAACAGAAAGCTATGAAAAAATAATTCTAATGGTGACTACCAAATAATAGGACTGCTTTCAAATAAATGAAGCCCTAAACCAGTAAACATGAGCCATGAGGGTCTATGACATGATTGGCCCGCTTGCTCAACTCTTTGAGGAGACCTGTTTCCCTAGCAGGATTCCAAGATCTGAGAGGCCAGTTTCTAGAGATCAGAAGCAGATATCCAAGGATAAGAAACACGCTGGACGGTGTGAGATATGACAAAATAATAATAATTTAGAAATTATCAAGGGTTCATAGGGGAGCGGAATAAATAAGGAGCTGATACCAAGGGCTTAAGTGGAGGGCAAATGTTTTGAGAATGATGAGGGCAACGAATGTACAAATGTGCTCGACACAATTGATGTATGTATGGATTGTGATAAGAGTTGCATGAGCCCCCAATAAAATGATTAAAAAAAACAACGATGAGTTTTCAGCAAGAGAATTATATTCTTCAGATTTAAGTTGTATCAAGATTTAAAAAAAAGGATAAGGAAAAATTTTAAAGATAACAATTTCTAATCCATGTTTTAAAAGTATCACAAAATTTTTTTTCAAATAAACATGTTTCAACATGTTCCAGTGACCAAGTGGCTGCTCAGTAATATAGTTAGCTTAGTCGTGGCCAAAAAGGTCCAATCAAGAGTGTCTTCTGATGAGATCTGCTGGGCAGATTAAATTCAAGGCAGACAGAAGGTTATGGCCCCCAGGGTGCCTTAGGATAGATCTATTTCTCCCCAATAAATGCTCGCTCTCTTCAGCTGCTGCCCCGAGTTAAAGCAGGCTTCTGTGAGACTGCAAAGGGGCAGTCTTGCTCGATCTGACTCTTCAGACTTTTGTACCCCAAACTCAAAGAACATAGATTGAGTCCTTCAAGGGATCCCCAAACTGATGCTTGGATGTGGAGTGAATCGGAGAGCACAGAATTCTCCCTGGAAGGGCTAGAGAGGTGGACACACCATCTTCAGAAGTGCACAGACCTAGTTGGAGGAGAGGTTGGATGAGAAACAACAGCTTCATATTTTGATAATTTTGTTTGATAATGGTTTCTATGATTTTGCAGCAATACTTTTTGATATACCCTCCTATTTACTGTCTTACTCATTTTTAAAAAGAGCCACCTTAACTCTAATCAGGAGACAACATCACTTAAAAGCAAACAAAATAAAAAGAACCCTTCTCTTTCTCAGTTATTAATCATATTTATATTTAAGAACCTAATCAGTGTCTACTAAGGATACTGGAAAACATTTGGTGATGGCTGACCAACATGATCAGTGTCTTTAGTACCACTATATTATACACTCAAAAATAGTTAAAATGGATACATACATACATAAATACACATTTCACCACAATTTTTTAAACCCATTGAGTTAAATAGGACCCCACCCCTCCCAAAAAGTCATACTAGCTAATTGGCTTAGCAAAAAAATATCTACCACTTATGCTCGACCTAAATGTGTAAAGCACTGAGAGGTTTTTATCAACTCACTTAATCCTAAGCATCTTAGAATGCAGTAAATATTACCATCCCTGTTCATAGATAGCTATATACAGCAGCTCCAGGCTCTAAAACATTGATTTTTATAACAGACCATTTTTTGAGGAGCTGTTATTATAGTTTAGGTTTTAGAACTGGCCTTAGACCAGCATAATTAGTTTTACAAATCAAAATTAAAGTTAAGTTGGAAATAACATATGTTCCAGACTCATCAAGCTATAAGGCAACAAGAAGAAAGGAGAAGGCTCCCACCTGCTTCATTGTAGCCTTCCATCTCTTTGTCCTAGTTGAGAACAAATCCCAAACACATTGCTATCAAGTCCATTTGACTCAGTGATCCTACAGGGTAGAGAAGAACTATCCTATAGGGTTTCACAGATGTATACCTTCAATGAATAGTTACACTATTGAAAGTACCATGGACTGCCAGAGGAACAAAATATTCTGTTTTGGAAGAAAGACGTATCAGCCAGAATGCTCCTCAGAGGGGAGGATAGGTGAGACTGTCTCATGTACTTTGGATGTTATTAGTAGACCAAAACTCAAAACCAAACTCACTGCTATCGGGTTTTGATTCCAAGTCCCTGGATAAGGATGTCATGCTTAGTTAAGTAGAGGATCCTTGAAAAGAAGGAAGACCATCAAGGAAATAGACTGTCACAATGGCTGCAGCAAGCGGCTCAAACTTAACAACTGTAAGGATGGTGCGGCAGTGGGCAGTGTCTCATTCTGTTGTACACAACTGTGGGTCGGAACCAACTCGGCGGCACTTAACTGATCTGTTTGAAGCAGACTGCCAAGTCTTTCTCCCACGGAGCCCACTTAAACCACCAACCTTTCCACTGTGCCCCCAGACCTCCTCACCCCGCTTCTAGTAGTCAAGGCAAGCTCAGTAATAACTCTTCTTGTTGGGTCTCTTTGGGAAAATACAATAAACTAGCCAGTACAGGGGGAAAACTTAACACAAGAAAGGATCAGTCAGATTAAAAAAAAAGTCATTTCCATTAACCAACAGTCAACTTGGAACAACTTGTTCCTTTGAGGTAAAATAGGCCATCGACCATTTTAATCTCATCACAAGTATCAAAACATCCTAAGTACACTGTTGATTCTTTAACAGAGAAAGCCGTGAGTGTACACGTGTGTCTGTTCCCTATATTAATTTCACAGATCACGTTAGTGTCATTTTCCATCTTAAGTATTAACCTTAGCGCACTTCACTCGGATTCTAGCTCCAACTGCTGGTCTCTCAGTCATGCCATGCAGATGACCCTGAGGCTCATCTTCAGAGAAAGCCAAATGGTTTTGAAGTTGTGAAGGGGCTAGTATATAATTTCTGGCCCTCAGGCTAGTGTGAATTGTCCCCTCTTCTTAAAAATCTCAAGAAACCAAGCAATTGATAGTGCCTTTACATTTTAATTCATGCCTTAAGGTAGTGCTTCCCAAAGTGGGAGATACCGGTAGCACCCTGGGAGCCACAGGAACCACCCAGGGTAGCTGCAAAAGCAGATGCCTACATTTTTACTTTTTTTTAATCCCGCAGCCTGGGTTGCTCTGAGTTGGCATCCCAATGGCAGTGAGACACTTATCTTGGATTAAGGGTATACTATATGTTTTTAATTGCCCAAGGGGAGCTGAGTTAAATTCACCCGCCCCTCCAAAAAGGGGGTGGCATGGCCAAACAAGCTTAGGAACCTAACTTTAAGGCAGTGGTTCTCAACCTGTGGGTCGCGACCCCGTTGGGAGTCACCCAACCCTTTCACAGGGGTCACCTGATTCATTAATAGTAGCAAAATTAAGAATTATGAAGTAGCAATGAAAATAATTTGATGGTTGGGGGGGGGTGTCAGCACAACATGAGGAACTATATTTATTAAAGGGTCGCAGCATTCGGAAGGTTGAGAACCAATGCTCTAAAACATCCTCATTTAAAGGGCAAGTGCTTGGTTTGATGCTACTGAACAAGCATTATGAAAGGCAGCACTATGGGATGTTATAATTTAGAACTTACTACGTCTAAGAAGCCCTGGTGGAATAGCGGTTAGTGTATTAGACTGCTAACTTCAAGGTCAGTTGTTAGACACCACCAGTTGCTCCGAGGGAGAAAGACTTGGCTTTCTACACCTTGTAGTTGTGTCTCGCAAACCTGTAAGGGCAGGTCCACGCGGTCCTACGGGCTCACTATGAGTCAGAATTGACTTGATGGTAGTGAGTTTGGTTTATTCCCTCTTCTCCTCCTCTCCAACACAATAAAGAAAATCTCCAGTCTACAAGGAAAGCGTAGAAACAACAGAGATTAATGAGAGGCCTGACCAAATTCCCACCTAGAGCAGCTAGGACTGGATAAATGAGCATGTCACAAAGCAACTGATGAACTTTCCCCACAGTATGAAGCAAGTACTAGAAAAACTAGATTGTTCGCAAGAGCACACCAGCTGTTATCAGGGAATCCTCAGAGGCCAGGCGGGAGACAGCCCCCGCCCTCTGCTGTGGAGTCCAGTACTTCTTACAGCAATCCTGAAGGACAAGCATACAACTGCCTAGCGGTGTTTTCAAACTGTGATCTTTACAGAGCTGATTACGCCACACTTTTCTCCCGCAGTGTGGCTGGTGGGTTTCAACTTACAACCTATTGGTAGCAGCCCCACACTTAAGTACCATACAACCAGGGCTATGTGGGATGGAAACATTTTGCCCCATTATATTTCACTTCTCTCTTCAGATTCAGCACTGCTCTGTCCCACAGGGTTGTTATGAGTTGGAGTAGACTCCCCAGCAATGGATTTTGTGGGGTTTTTTTTCAATCCTTCTTCAAAAATTAAAAGTCCTGTTCAAACATAATTTATTTTCAGTCTGTATTAAGAGAAAAGACTATTAAGTGAATAGTATTCACACGAAAGAAATGCATGTGTTGTTCTTGCACACTTAGAAATCTATCATTCACTAGAGCTGGACGGCTGGGTTTGATTCCCAGCACCGGCACTTACCATCTGTGTGACCTTGAGAAAATGGTTTCACTTCTCTGACCCCGGATTATCTACTTTGTAAATGAGGCTAACAGAATCATCTATTGTTGGTTGTTTTAAGAAATGAGTTAATACGTATAAAGTGCTTACAACAAGACTTGCATCATAATAAGTGATAGGGGTAACTATTATAGGGCAATTAATACTACCTCATTAGTAGATAATCTCAAATGGATGTAAGAAGGAATATATATACATCTATAGTGTGTGTGTGTGTGTGTGTGTGTGTGGATATCTGTATGTGTTCATAAATACAGTCAAATATCATTAAACAATTATGTGCCACCAGATACTTATTTTAAATATTCAATCTGTCACAACAATCCAACAAAGACTACATTCCCATGTAGTACAGATGAGAAAATGGGTACATTTTCTAGAGATGCTACGTGCAAAACACGCGTACAAGACTACAACTGGAGAGAAATGCCATTAATGATGAACCCTGTGTTTGAAAGTCAGAACCAAAAGCTTACGCATATATCTAACATTTTACTGGTGGTAAAAGGGCTTCATGGCAACTTTGGAACTAGAGAAACGAAGAACTGTGACTTGAGCAACACGCTGAAGACCACACAGGTAGAACACTGCAGGAGAGACTGGCATCAGATTTAACTGAATCTAAGTCCAGTGCTCTTTCGGCTCTGTAGTCATACAGCCAAATGGGCAAAACATACTTTCTGCAGTGTCCAATCTCCGTGGACTCAGCCCAGGGAGCCAGCATCAGGGGGATCTGCTTGGCCTGGTTGCCCGAGCTATAGAGCTCCAACTCTAAAATGGCTTCAATATGACACAAGCACTGCATGATGGGAAATGTGCAGATTACAGGTTTGGAGCCCTGCCCTAGGGGCTGAGAGGCCATAAATATTTGCTACTGATGACTGAAGATATTCAATCTGAAAACAACGTGTGTGGTCTGGGCCAAACCACTTTATTTTTCATAGAGACTGCATCTGTAAGATAGGTGAATGGTTTCTGATCTCACCAAGAGGAGGGGTTAGAAAAATAACTCAGCAGTTACTGGTTTCTTCGTCTGCCATTTTGGAAGGCCACGCTTAAATTCTCACTTGAGTCCAGTCAAAGATAAAAGGTTTTTTCCCTCACTGGTGTGCCTGCTAAAAAAGCATGGATTCTAGAAAAAAAAAAACTAAGGAGATTCAAACAAAAAAGATATCCATCCCAAGCAAAGAAATGGATGTGCTAGAAATACTCAAAAAGAAACTCACTAAGAACCAATATTCGGAGAGATGCATTTCTTGGAGGATTCTTCAGAAAGCTAAGCAACCATGTGTCTAATTCTACGAGCTGTGTGTTCTACATGCTGCATCTGCACATTAGCGGCAGAGCCAGAAGTCTGGGCAATTTTCATATTCTTGCAAGGCCTCCCCTCTCTAGTGTTGGCTACTGTGGCGTCTGATTTTACATATTCACAGCCTCACTTTGCCAAATTCCATCTCCCACACAGGGCAAGTAAAATCAGAGTTTGATGGTATCTAGCCCTAACAAAGAGAAACACAGTAAGGACGAGAGGGCACCAGGCAGGATTGTTACTAAAAGGTTGGCAAATCAGGTTACCAATGCTGCCACCTTTGAAAGCCCCATTAGGGGCGGTTTCTCCATTTGCAATAGACAACGGTGTATTCATTTGCTAAAGCAAAGGGGGACAATCATTTCCCACACCCTTCGCAACCACCAAGGAGGCTGCCACGGACACATTTCAGACGGAAAATTCGGCTCACACACAGGATGGGAGAATTTTGGTGGAGGACACAAAAGACACGAGCATTAAAAGATGACGGCAAAAGCCCTGGGAAAATGCTCGATTCCCAGCCTTTGATTTTTTTTTTTCCTTTCTGCCCCGGGCATCCGGCTTCTTGAATCCGTAACCGTGTCCCACGAATGCAAATTCTTGATTTAAACCTCAATCCTGGCCTCCCCAGGTAATCTCGGGCCCTCCCAAGCTCCATACCCAATGAAATGGCTTATGCTGCAAAACGGGAGGGGGTTTCCTCCTGCTGTTTCCCAAGGTTAAACCCCTTACTCATTCAGAGGGTAGCCAGCGGGCGACCCGGGGGGCTCTCGAACTCCCACGTTTGGGGTTAAATCTTCATTTTCCGAGACTGGAAAACCAGGAAGACTGGTGATAGGGCTGAGAGGGACCCCCCTTGGGGACCAAGGCGGAGAGCGGGGCTGCAGAGGGCTTGGATTGAAGCTGGGGAGAGCGGGAGCCACGGAAGGCCCGGGTCTGAGCGCCGCCGTCTTTTCCCGCCTGCTAAGGAAGGGCCCCGGCGGGCCCCGGGCAGGAGGGACGCCCGCGCCTCGGGAGGAGGCCAAGGGCCTGGCCCCGGAAGCAGGGAGGGGCCACAGCGAGGCCCAGCCGGCGCCGCCGGCGCCCGCGCGCGCGGGGCCTAGCAGAACGCTCCGCTCCCCACGGGGCCCGCTTGTGGGGCCGCGGAAGCTGCAGCGGGGCCTCAAGACGGGGCTCCCCGGGCGGACCCCACGTCGTACTAACCGTCAGAGGGCTGCAACGAACCGAGCGCTTCGAGGGAAGCTTCGTGGGCGACGTCCGCTTTCTTCCTCACTCGGCTCCTCGGGCGGCGGCGGCGGAGGCGGCGTGGGCAGTGGCTCCCCTACCTCCGGAATCGGCGGCGGCGTAGCTCCACTTCCGCTCCGGTCACCACTTCCGCTCCGGCCGAGGCCCCGCCCCCGACGCTGCGCGGGCTCCTCATTGGCCGAGCCGGGCCCGAGTCTGCGTCGTCCTCCATCCCCCCGGAGAGGGCGCGGACCTGGGGAGAAGGGAGGGACGCGCGTCGCGAGGAGGCTGTGAAGTCGGGGGAGGGCCGGGGGGTGGCTTGTGGCCGACTTAGGGTTGGGGTCAGGAAGAAGCAAGTGAAGGGGACGGATAGAGGTGCAAAGAAGGATATGAGGAAAAGCGAGGAGAGGAGGGCAGAGGTCAAGGGAGAGATCTGTGGGAACAAGGACTGGGAGAGGGGTGTGGGGGTTTGGTGGGATGTGGACCCGAACCAGAAGCAGCCCAGTGACTCTGGTAATCCTTACCCACTGCACCCCAAAAGGAGTCCGCACGAGGTCAGGGCCCGAGGCACAGCCCCTTTCAGTGTGTGCTCTGGAGAGACAGGACCAAATGTGAACAGAAATGGAACGTCCCCTTAATTGTCACTTAATCCTACCCGCGATGACCCTTCAAGGTGCTTCTCCTCCCCTTCGTGGACCGAAGAGGCCGTGAAAAGCGCGGTTTACAAGACGAGGGTCTTTTAAGTCCATTTAAGTGATAACTGCACGAAGCCCTATCCCTCCCCAAGGCTCTGGGATGAAGCAGGAAACAGCCCTCCACCACAGCTCCAACTCCCATGACAGCCCTCGCCCAACAAGGCAGTTGATTCTTAAACCCAGTTCTTCAAAATTCAACTTACCTCTACTCCCTCCCTCTCATTTATTCTTTCAACACATTTTATCGTTTACCTATCTTACTGCCAGGTGATGTGCACAGCACTGGGGACATGGTAGTGAATGAGACCAACAGGATTTTACAGTCAGGTAGGAGAGGAGGGTCAAAGTATCTAGGCCTCTATCTTGCTTCCTTTACTTGTAACTCACAAACCAGCCACTTCTCAAGTTTATCTGAGACCCAGGGGTGTCAGAGCATAACGGGCCTCCATAGCCTTTATCCCATGGCATTGATTCCATGACTCATAGGCACCATGGTTAATCCATTACCCAGGAGCTGTGGTGGTGTTGGGAGGTAGGCATTGGGCTGCTAACTGCAAGGTCAACAGTTTGAAACCAGAGGGAGAAAGATGAAGCCCTCTATGCCCTTTAAGACTCATAGTCTCAGAAACCCACAGAGGCAGTTCTACTCTGCCCTTATAGGGTCAATGCAATGGTAGTGTTTGGCTTTTTGGAATTCACTATTCAAGGAATCCTGGTAGTATAGTGGATTACATGTTGCGCTACTCGCCACAAGATGGGCAGTTTGAAACCACCAGCTGCTACTTGGGAGAAAGATGAGGCTTTCTGTTTCTGTATAGCAGTGGTTCTCAACCTTCCTAATGCCACGACCCTTTAATACAGTTTCTCATGTTGTGGTGACCCCCACTACTTTCGTTACTACTTCATAACTGTCATTTTGCTGCTGCTATGAATCGGGCGATCCCTTTGAAAGGGTTGTTGGAGCCCCAAAGAGGTCGCGACCCACAGGTTGAGAACCGCTGCTGTAAAGATTTACAGTCTTGGCTACCCAAAGGGGCAATTCTACTCTGTCCTATCGGGTTAGGATGAGTTGGAATCAACTCGATAGCTGCATGATCTTGTTATTTCATTAACTATCCCGGCCATGTTCCCATCAGCTCCCAAAGTGATCTTTTAAAACTGCTGCTCTGAGGTGTCTTTTCCTTGCTCAGACTAGGAAACAATATGTAAATTTCTTTCATCTGACAACCAACTCCCTAGAAGTTGCTCTTAGCTATCAGCCTTTACCTTCCATTTCTCCCCATCCCAAACACCCCAGGTCCCGCTGGATGACCCTTTGTCCTTCCAATGCGCCATGCCCAGTATTTCTAAACAGTTTGAATTCATTGCCAACATGTTTTTTTTTACAAAGAGATTTCATACAGAAATTGGCATTTCTGCCTTGTCCGTCAACATTGTGTACACATTTCTGTGTGGCAATAATTGGTTGAAGCCAAAGAGCAGCTGCCCTGGTGGGATTGACTATGGGTTTTCCAAAGGGTCTCACCCCCATCCCCGCACCTGGGCCTGCTTTCATTTGTGGTGCCTGTTGTATAAGAATTTGTGACACTGACCCCTGCACTATACCACATTACACAGTTATGGAATGGAAACGGCATTGGATTTGACTTCAAGAACTCTAGATTTGAAGCCAGTGCAAAATCATTTCCCTGGGGATCTGTCTTCGGCAGCCAAACACCAGTAATCCAGAGACTGCTCAGGTTGAAAGTAAGCTTTACTGGGACATGGCTGTGCCCCATGCCCCCATCCAGAGAACAATCTAGTGGGTCAGAGGGCCGCTGCTGATTACACCACAATTACAAATTGCATTGAGGGCATAGATCTGCCCTTTGCCAGGCATCCCGGTGCCTGCTAATGGGTGGCATGGATTAGCTCTTTCCATCATCTCTGCCTTCTAGGCCAGGAGTAGGCAAACAGGCTAAATTCTATCTCTTTTCTGTCTGGTCTTTGAGTGGATTCTAATTCATAGTGACCCTAGAGGACAGAGTAGAACTGTTTCCCGCCTCCCGCCCCAGGATTTCCTAGCCTGACATCTTTATAAGAGCTGACCAAAATAACTTTTCTGCTTCAGTTCCCGAGAGTTGCTGGTAGGTTTGAACTGTCCGCTGACCTTTCTTTAAAAAAAAAAGTTGTATTGGCATGGACTTCACAATTTGTTTGTTCCGTCATATTAAGATTTGCATAACCATCACCTCACCAATTCCAGACCACTTTCTTCTCGTCCTCATTGTGGTTGGTCCCCCACCCCTGCCATGCCCCTGGGCAATAATCAATCCAGTTCCTGTCTCTGTAGAGCCACCAATCCTGGATTTCATATACCAAACAATCATACAAAACAGGAAGCAAACAGGAAACCCAAGTCCAACAACACCGACTAGACAAAGCATAGGAAAACCTCAATCACAAAGAAGCCAGAGCTGTTAAAAGCTGAAACAACTTTAGAATGGGTCAAATGGGAAATCTTAACCTCACTACATCTGCCATCATTGACCTTACAAGGCGCTCCGTCTGAAAGCAAGGCTGTTCCCATTCCTCGACTGTGGTCAGCGGCATTCACAGGAGGCTAAATCCACACACCCAGACCTTTTCCATTGGTCACCAAACACCGAATTGTCGTGCTGCCAGGACGCCCTGCACTTCTATCTGGTATATAGTTTTTGCAAATAAGGCTTTATTGGAATGGGCCTCTCATTCATTTACGTATCACCTATGGCCGTGTTTAGTTCACAGTGGCAAAGTGGTTGCAACAGGGACGCAAGGTGTGCAATGTCGTTTTACTCGCTGGCTTTTCATGGACACTGTTCATAACCTGCCCCTTTTCAAGACCGTTGAAAGAAGCTTCTAGACCCTTCCTTTCCCCAAATTCCCATTTGAGCAAACAGCTCACGTCTTTTTAAAAATAATACTTCTTTCTAGTCCAGGTGAAAGTTTACAAAGCACATTAGTCTCCTATTCGGCAGTTTGGACACAGTTGGTTTCTGGCATTGGTTGCAAACCCCACAGTTAGCACTCTGTCTCCTTGCTTCCACCCTGGAGTTCTGTCTCCATACGCCTGGTTTTCTTGCCTTGTCCTTCCTTCCTAACTCCAGTTGTGGGCAAACACTGCCTTTGGGGTCGCCTGTGGTTGAGCGCTCCGAGGGCCATGTTCCCCCCAGATATTACTGCTCACATTATAGGCTTGTCTTTTTGTGGCTAAAAGGTGAGCTCTGGGGAGTTGTAAGTTGAAGGGTATAGCTAAGGGTTTAGGATTATAGTCTTGTGGGTTCCACCTGTCTCTGCAGACCAATAAGTAAGTGTGAATTTTGTTTTACGCTTTCTCTTACTCTATCTAGTACCATCTGTTGTGATCCCAGCCAGAGCGGTTGGTGGTGGTACCAGGCACCATCTAGTTCTTCTGGTCTCAAGGTAGTGGCGGCTGGGGTTCTTGTGGCCTCTTCAACTTTGGGACTAATCGTTTCCTTGAGTCTTTAGTTCTCTTCACTCTTCTTTGCTCCTGATGGAACGAGAACAATCGTTTCAATTTAGATGCCCATTCAAAAGACCCGAGTCACTACTCTCCAAGGTAGGATGTAGAAATGGTCTCTGTGGGTGATGCTTTGTCAATTGACCTAGATAGAACTCCATTTTTTCCCTATTTTTTA